GTCGCGGGCGTGCGGCGGTGGTGCGGCTCGGCCGGTGGCGGTCCGGCGATCTGGTGGTGGTGGCCGGCGGTGTACGTGGTGGTGATGCTTCCAGTTGGCGGCTCTCTGTGCGGGGAGGCAGGGGAGCAGCTTGGACAGGGACAGCGGTGCCGACGGCGTGCCGGCTGCAGCGCGAAGGCAGAAACTTTACGGGCCTCGAGATCCCGACCGGGCCTGTGCGGCCACGGGCCTGGTATGTTCCTGCTATTGCGTCCGGTCAACTACCGTCTTCAACGGTGGAGGTTGGGGCCCTTCCACATGCCGTTGGTGCTGCTGCCCGAGTCCCAGCTCCTCTTGTTCATTGTGAAGGCCATGCTTCATGGTGCCGTGGTGAGAGAGCGTGGGAAACTTCGTGACCGGGTTGACGCACGGTGGGTGTCTGTTTGGTGGCGAGCTCTGGTATGCCTGAGGTGGAGGTTGGGATCGGAAGAAATCTCTGTTGGCTTGGCCGGTACCGACGCGGTGGCGCATGTGGATGCCGCCAGACCTTCCTGGAGGGCGTCGGGGCTACCCTTCCTCTCCCCACACCGCGTGCCGGGGGAAACCCTTGGCAGCAGCGTCATTATCGTCGCATCCCTTCTTGGAGGTGTTGATTGGTACCGGTGCTTCGGAGGCTCGGAGCTTGGTGGGCGATCTTCGTTGGGTGCAGCGGCCACGAGGCTTCTTCATTTTTTGTTGATCCGCCGTTGTCGGCATTTATTTCTTTTGTATTTTCTCTTTTATTTTTTTAGGCGTGACTATGTTGTTTTCGTCCCAACACCTATCGTTGAATGTCTCGGTTGGTTGCTTTGTATACAAAGCAGGGAAAACCTTTTTTCGGTATCACCAGCTCCAAGCTAATGACTATGTATACACGTACAGATTTATGTTCTCCTACACACAAACGCCTTACTGAAGATAAAGGGCATACATGGTTTTCTCAGATGCAAGACAGGTTGGTTGGACAAAGCAAAAAACACAAAGACGATACGATAGGGCAGAGAGCATATGTTGTGGGGAACTAGAATATTATCTGGTAGCATCATCCTTGCGGACGATGTAACACCGTCAAACACACCGTCATGGTGGCTTTCCCTAAAGAACAGAAAAGATAAGAGTGTTTGGTGCAGGCCGGTCATCATGCATGCAATTGCTTTCCGGTCTATAATAATCACCTTTTGCTTTAGATTCTATAATAATCATTTCACCAACATGTACTTTCAGAAAGGACAACGTGCTGGTATTATTGTTAGTTACGTAGGTCTTTGCGCAAGGTTCGGTGGTATCGGTGACAGATATGAGAGCATCTCTAGAGTCGAGTCGTCATATTAATCACTATTACGATGATTTTGGCCAAAAAGGACACTCTAAAAACCATCATAGTTTATGAAGCACCCTCTATATCTGAGCTTTGAGTCGTCATATATTGTCTTTCGGGGCTGTCTTTAGAGCGACAGTTAAGTGCAATTTTGTGTGCCGGAGAAAAAACTTTAGGGGGCCCCCATCTCAAATTTGATGACGAGGAGGTTGGGGGAAAATGAATGTCTCATTAATAGTCTAAGCGTGTCTCATAATTATGGAGACAACAAATATGACACCTCTGGCCACAATATGGGAACGGTTGTCAATGCCTCTGGCCACAATAGATGTTAACATATATTTATACAAAGACTGTATGTGGTGCTTTAAAAAAATAAAGGATTAAGATTTCTTTTATTATGGTTGGATGAGTAAAAAGCATAAAATCACCATATTTGCAGTGTGATTAACTGTTTGGCACCACGTTGAATTGATCTTCTTCTTCCTCGTCCTCCTCATGTCTATCTCTTTAGGGGCCTAAGCCGAAAGGAATCAAGAATGGATAGTTGAGACTTGAGAGTAACATATACTCCCTCCCTTTCAATTTATAGGGCTCAATTCAAACATATCACCAACCAAGATAGATAATGAATGGTGGAATAATGTTTTGTCATTTGCAAAAGTATTAAATTGATGCACTTGTTGCCTAAAAAATTGTATTTACCAATGCATTAATTGCATGCATGGGTGACCAATATATGACCAAGTGCAATGCATGCATGCATGACCAACACATGACCATGAACTTTTACATGCATTGATGTGTTTTCTTTCTCAATGCTTTCATGCAATGATTTAATGCATCTTAAAATTTAAACATGTCATGAGGAACAATAAAATTAAGTAGAACGAAAAAAATATTTTTTTAAGATAAGCTTGTACTAAACCGGAAGAGAGGGTAGTACATAATTAGTTGAGGAGGTGTGGCGTAAAAGAGCGAGCACTTAGTGAAGGGTATAATAGCAAGTGGTGTCTGAGTACATTAGCTAGCTAGTACAACGTCCACACTGCATGCAGAAAGGAAGCGATAGGAAAAAGAGTCAAGTATGGCGCCAGCAGGCCGCGACGGCGAGAACACAAGATTCCCGTTCCTAGCGACGGTGCGGTCATTGGTGACCATCGTGGTCACCGTGCTCGCCGTTTCCGTAGTGGTGATGGTCATCGTGGTCGTCCACCGCCCAGTGGACATGGGCTTCCAGAGCTACGGCTATGTGTTGACGGAGAAGCCGTGGTGGATACAGCATAGCACCACCACGGCCTGGCCGGCGACGGCGGTGGACTACCTGATCGTCGTCAAGGCCCTGAACCCAAGCGGGCGCGGCCAGATCCATGGCAGCATCAACGTGGTCCGCCTCCTGGACGTCCCCAACGCATCCTTCGCGGGGATGGTGGACCTCGGGTGGTTCAAGCCCGAGTCGGGCCCCTTCGACCTGCCGCCGCACAGCAAGCACAGATACAGGGACTGGAGGCACATCGACGATCAACCAACGCTGCAGTACCTCTACGACAAGCACGGCCATGAAGACGCCGGGTTCACCGTGATGGTGGTGGTGGACGCCACCTACAGGCCGGCGCATTCCAAGAAGAGCATCGACGCGGCCTATTATTGCTGGCCGGTGACATTCATCCGCATCGACGCCACCAACACTCCGGCGGCCGACAACGTCGATTGCAAGACGGCCCAAGAGATGGGCGTCGAGCTCAAATGGGAGAAGCCGCCGCCAGCTACTAGTACTTGATCATCGGTTCCATTCTTGTATTGTATCAACGACTTGACTAATCCTGTTTTAGTTTCCTTGTAGTTTTGTTTTGGCTACTACATTATTTGCCTGCGCGTGTACTCTACTTCAACTGAGTATTCTTACGGCTCTTAGTCTTGAATTATATTTCGACTACCATGTTGTACAAATAATCCTTTTTCTCCTTTGTTTGTACGGATGACCTTGTTAACTGAAGGCATATAAGGCTTTTGCTTTTGCTTTCCTGAAAAGAAGTGGTGTTTGTGGAGGTTTGCCTTGGGTGGATCTCGCGGGATTTGATCGGCATTTGTCTTCAATGGATCCACATGGATCCGATCTTCGTTCATTTGTGTTCAAGTGTTTACAGGTTGGATCCTTCTGATCTACGCATCTCTTCATCAGTAGCGGTTGCTGTCTTGGTGCGCTGGTCCTATGGGGCCTTAGCACGACGACGTCCCTACTGTTTACTACAACAAGGTTTACCCGGGTCTGATGAGGGAGGGGCGATGACGGTGGCACGCCTTTGGCTTGCTCCAGTGCTTGTAGTCGTGGCTAGGTGGTCTACGGACCTAGATGTATTTTTTTACTTCTCGTGTTCTTTATACTACCTTGACAGTTGATGAAAAGATTGAAACTTTTCCTCGCAAAAAAAAGTACAAAAGAAATGGTGACAGCTGTAAAATATTTATTCCCTCATTTTCTAGGTGCACCTAGTTTTTGTTTAGATAAAGAAAATGACTGTCTATATGAACACCATAATTAATATATTCTCTTTTTGTTTTGAGATTTGCACGATAATGTATCCTCTCCTTTTCACGTGAAAAAGGCTAAAAACCATATTAAAGTTGATCAACCCTTACAACATCATCCTTACAGAAATTCAAACACATTGGTCCTTGGGGAGATCGAAGCTAACTTCCTTCTGTTCTCACCGGCGGCACATCAAAACTCGATGCAGCCTCTGGACCTCTAAATCACCATTGGAGCTAGAGAAGCATTGTTGATGTAATGGTCAAGAAATCGCCGTTCGGAGCCAGGGGAACATTGTTGATGCAACGACCAGGAAATCGCCGATCGAAGCTAGGGAAACATTGTTGATGCAATGGTTGCGACTTCCTCAATCGGTGCTAGAAGATGTAGACAATGATGATCTGAAAAGCAGACGACGAAGAGGGCTGGGCGACCACCCCAGATCTGGACAGGCAGATCCAGGAAGCCCTAACCTCACGAGCTCCTCGACAACGTTGAAGCTGGGCGAACATCATTGATCTGAGAAGGAGCCACCTGCATAGGAATGATCACCCTGTCAAATGAAAACATTTGATCTAGGAAAGAGTTTTTTTTAAATTATTCGGGGAAGAGTTGGAACAAACGATTCGTGTTCGGCCCAGCCCCCCATCCCCGCGCAAACCATTCCTTCTCCAGGACAAAACAACCTCCAATTAGGCCAAGAATGGCTAGTTTTCCTGTGATGCCTCTATCAAGACTAAATAACTGGTGTTTGGACATAATTTTAAATAACTAAACAAAATTTAACAAAATTGCTATGACGTACTACGGGAAATTTGCCATGTGCTGAACTATAAATATGCATGAACACATGGCAACTCCGAACGTTTTTTATGAAAAGTTTAGTGACGTGGGGATGACAACTTTAGTTTTTAAGCATGGCAAATTTTAGTTTCTTTCTTGGGGTTTTTTTGGATGACAACTTTAGTTGTAAAAAACGTCAGGACCGGAGTGCTTTGTGCCACACATGTGGCACTTATCATTTGGGATAAAGAAAGTAAAAAGAAGAAACAAAAGGAAAGGAAAGGAAATAAAGAAAAGGTTTGCCGTGTGCTCTTTGTCAGGCACACAAGGGTGACTGCGCTGCTACCCTTCCATCAACCACGGACACATTTTTGTTGAGTGCATGTAAGTAGACACTTGACATAGGTGACTATTTTGCCGAGTTCCCTGCTGTTGTTGAGTGTTTTCCGAGGCAAAGTGAGTGTAGTCGTCGCTAGATGGTCTACGGATCTAGATGTAATTTTTATTTCTGGTATTCTTTGTACTATCTTGACAGTTGATGAATAGATTGAAAGTTTTCTCACAAAAAAAAGTGTCGTCTTTGCCGAGTGTTTGTGTGAGTGTTTTCGGTATGCATTTAGTTTAGGTCATTCTTTGCCAAGTGCCCAACAAAATGCACTTACCGACCGTCAGTAACTCCGTACCAGTCGATTCCGGTAGTGCCTCCGTTGTCTAGCCTGTTGGACTAACCATACTTGTCATAGGCAGAGAGCATATGTTGTGGGGAACCAGAATATTATCTGGTAGCATCATCCTTGCGGATGATGTCACACCGTCAAATACACTGTTTGGTGGCTTTCATATACACCGTCATGGTGGCTTTCCCTAAAGAAGAGAAAAGATAAGAGTGTTTGGGGCAGGCCGGTCATCATGCATCCATTGCTTTCCGGTCTATAATAATCACCTTTTGCTATAGATTCTATAATAATCATTTCGCCAACATGTACTCTCCTGTATATGCTTCTTTCTTTCTTTTTTTCTTTCAGAAAGGACAAGGAACACGTGCTGGTATTATTGTCAGTTACGCAGGTCTTTGCGCAAGGTTCGGTGGTATCGGTGACAGATATGAGAGCGTCGTCATATTAGTCACTATTACGATGATTTGGCCAAAAAATACACTCTAAAAATCATCATAGTTTATGAAGCACCCTCTATATCTGACCTTTGAGTCGTCATATATTGTGTTTCGGGGCTGTCTTTAGAGCGACAGTTAAGTGCAATTTCATGTGCGGGACAAAAAACTTTAGGTGGCCCCATCTCACATTTAATGACGGGGAGGTTGGGAAAAATGAATGTCTCATTAACAGTCTAAGCGTGTCTCATAATTATGGAGACAACAAATATGACGCCTCTGGCCACGATATGGGAACGGTTGTCAACGCCTCTGGCCACAATAGACGTTAACATATATTTATACAAAGACTATATGTGATGCTTAAAAAAATAAAGGATTAAGATTTCTTTTATTATGGTTGGATGAGTAAAAAGCATAAAATCACCACATTTGCAGCTGTTCACGAAAAATGGTTTCTCCCGCTTTATATTATAAAACAAATATCACCACAAAACAACTGAGACACTGCTACAGACACACGCCACCACCGCACATAATGCACACACACAAGGCAAGATACAAAGGTGCCGGACACCGACACATCACCCCACCGACAACCAAGCAAACTACAAATGTGCGAAGAAGACAACTTCATGCCAACGGGGATCTCCACCATGAGCAACCACAACGGAGAGGTGAGGCAGACCACAACGAGTCTAGGACTCCAAAATGGTGGCTCTGAGAAGGGTATGACCATAGATAGCCGCCACCGCCCGATCCTGAAGATCAAGTTTTCACCCGGAGCAAGACGGACGGAGTGGGAACGCCGCGCAGGAGCCTTCATGAAGGATACGACGTCCACGGATGCCGCCACCGTCGGCCAGAAAATGGGCTGGACAGGTGATATACCCCAGCGTTCACATCCCTCTGTCACACCCTAGCACCGCCAACCACCCGCAACCAAGCCACCCGCATGGCCAAGGCTGCCTGCCCGCATCTGAGACGCAAGTTCCGCCCACGAACACCACGCCTCCCACCACCCGGGCCGCCGCCCGACACTCGGACCACCCCAAGACCAGCAAAGTGGCCGACTTTGGTCCAAAGGGACGCCCACGACCGACGAAACCGCAGCCCACGTCCCACCTTGAACTTCGTCGGAGTTGCCACCGCACACAAACGGATAGGGAATGGGGCGAAGGTGGAGCGGATGCATCCACGACCGGCACACCCCAGTACCGGTGACGGTCAGCCCTAGCGACAGCGCCGCTAGTCTCTCCCACCAATGTCCCCACCGAACACACGCCGTGCCGCCCCACCACGGCGATCGAAGCAACCCCACGCAAGGCCACCAACGCCGACTCGTCCACCCGCCAGGAAACCCAGAAGATCGCCGCCTGCCGCCAAGATAGCTCACCGGGAGGCCCGTCCACGCCGCTCGCCAACATCCAGCTGTCGGAGCTGGCAAGAGGTCGGCCCGCATGTCCGCCAAGTCCACCGCTGTTGCGCGCCACCCCTTCCGGCCACCGGCCGAGGTAAGAGCGGCCGCCCACAACCAGGTCGCACCCGACCCGCACCCCTGGCCAGGATGAACTTGAAGCCACCACCGCCGCCCGGAGCAGCCGCCGCTGCCGTCCCTCTAGTGTGCACCGCCAGATCCGGCCGGAGAGGCCCGATCCGCATCAGCCGCAGCCGCCGTGCCGCCACGAGGCGCCATCGACGCCACCAGGACGCTGCGCCGCCATGCCGCTAGCCCCCACCATAAGTCAGCGCCTCCGGACAAGAGGCTGGCCCGCGCCAGCCAAAGTCCGCGCGCGGAAGGGAAGGAAGGCCCCGCCGCCGCCCTTGCCGGCCGGGCGTTGCCCAACGGCGAGCTGGGCCCGGTGAGGGAGGAGGTCGAGAGAGGAAGGTACGAGAGGTGGCGGCTAGGGTACCCCCCGGCGGCGCCGTCGGGAGCGCCATGGGTGGGAGGGGGAATTGGGCGTGTACAATGACCAGAACGTCTTGATTAACTATTTGGCACCACGTTGAATTGATCTTCGTCCTCGTCCTCCTATTATCTATCTCTTTAGGGGCCTAAGCCAAAAAGAATCAGGAATGGATAGTTGAGACTTGAGAGTAACATATGCTCCCTCCCTTCCAGTTTATTGGGCTCAGTTCAAAAATATCATCAACCAAGATATGATGAATGATGGAATAATGTTTTGTAGTTTGTCAAAGTATTAAATTAATGCACTTGTTGCCTAAAAAATTGTGTTTACCAATACATTAATTGTATGCATGGCTGACCAATATATGACCATGTGCAGTGCATGCATGCATGCGTGACCAACATATGACCAAGAATTTTTACATGCATTGATGCTGTTTATTTTTC